CAACGAAGGAGAAAGAAAAAGTACAAAGTCTAGAGATTACACAGAATAAAATGATTTACTTCATTAGCACTTATTTACCTGACCATCAACTTAGAAATGTTAACAAAAATTTCAGAGAACATTTTCTTTATGTGATTCTTAATGCTTTAGTTATAATCTTCATTCCATGTCATTCATTCATTCATGCATTACATAACAAATTATGAACACTGTGATAAGTATTATTAATGTGAAATAAAATGAGACACATTTTCCACTCTTATAGATCTTTAGAATTTGTATAAGTATGACTGATATTAGAGAAAACTCATGTTTAATCAATGAATAGCTCTAAAATGTAGTAATATCTAAAGTAAATGTCTAAAATCCAACTCCTCCTGAAATCACAATATAATGTAAATGATATACTAGTTCATTCATGCATTCTCCACAATATAACAGCATTTATAAAGCCTTTAGCACCTACTAATTATTTAAATAATTAATTTAATAACAAAATTTCAAGCACCTCTCTGCACCATACCATTCTATGAGCATAGTGGAAAATGTACTTTTCTTCAACATATGATATATTAATGTAGGGAATGAAAATTACATTCAAAGCATTGTTTCAGTTTTAAATACAAATAAGTATTTACTTTTTGTAATATATTTTTATAAGCTCCTGTAGCATAAAAATCATTAAAAATAGATAACATTTCAAACATGTTTAAATACTTTAAATAAATATTTGATTATCTGAATGAATAGCCTGGTATTTATGATTCAGAAGCTTATGAAAAATTTGAAACTAATGCAAAGATTGTGTTAAATGTACTTTGTGTATACTAGTCAAAATAATGACATTATTCACAAAACAAACACTGCATCTGTTCCAGGGAAAAGCTTAGTTTCTTATTTCTTTTAACAGTGTGCAGACCTGGGTTCTTCAAAGCCTCACCTCACAGCCAGAGCTGCAGCAAATGTCCACCTCACAGTTATACCCATGAGGAAGCTTCAACCTCTTGTGTCTGTGAAAAGGATTATTTCAGGAGGGAGTCTGATCCACCCACAATGGCATGCACAAGTAAGGAAACCCACGGATATTCGGTGATGCTTTCACCAGTTTGAAAAGAGCATGGTAGAGCCTGTTCCATTCTATTACCATTTCCCCTAAGACAGGCATAACTTTTAATCTTCCAATATAGTTTTTCACCACATTTCAATCTTCTTGGGTAAGCGTTGAAACATTTGAGGCTCTCTTATCATTTATTCTGAGAAGCATCCATTTTTCCTAATTTCAAATTCAACATCTGAGTCACAGACATAAAACTTTTCCTTTTATTGTGTGTTCTTTTAGTGTTCGTGGTAGCCAAAGATGATTTTGATCAATCCATTTCCCTATTCATCATGATCAATTTTCTTCTTCTAAGTCAGCTTTCTAATTAGATAAACATGCAGTCAGTGGCACTTTTGCTTTTTGCCTTCTTATTCAAACTTGCCCCACTAAGTTGCAAAGACCAACGAGAAGGTCATTTGTAAAAGAAGACAGTAAACTACAAGAACACAGAGAAACAGGGATTGGTAAATCAGATGTAAGAGTCAAATATAAAACCAGTATTTTAGCTAAAATTTTCAAGCAGTTGTTGTGTTTTTTTTGAGTGAGTGTTCTTATCTATTATTAATTACATGATCAGGTAATCATATAATTAGAGTGATGAATATTAACAGCTAATTCCAACAATTGCAGTGGATGCATCCATATTCATTAATGGTTTTGGTGGTTTTGTTTTTCTAGTATTCCACATATTTCTGGGGAGGAAACAGATTTATGTATTTGTTTGATGACAATACTCTCATGGTTTTTCTACATCCACGGTCTTTATAGCAAATCAAACAAAAATAGAAAATGAAAACGAAGAAAAGTGGATTCCCTCTCTCCATAACATTAAATTTTCATGACATGCCTTGTTTTACTATTTTAGATCCTGTTGTGTTGTAGTTGCTCTCAAAATGATAACAAAGGTCTTTGAAATTTAATATTCACTAGTATTAAACATAAAGACATACAATTCCTTTAATCAAATAATCACAAACTGAAATTTTATCTGAATTTCAGTGTCTGAATTTTATAGTGTCAGTGAAATATTTTCATAATTCTCAAATCATTAATATTGATTTGCTTTACATTGCTAAAGATCTTTTTTTATTACATGACATGATTTTTATGGGTTAAGTAATTACTAATTATAAACAATTCCTCTTCAAATGAATAAATTACATTATTATATATAATTTTGGGAGGATAAATTAGAATAGAGACAGTATAAAGTATGATTGAATGTGATGCATTTTGGTTGCAATGGAGATTATTTTGATTATTCAGAGCAAAAGAATGCCCAAATTAGTTGGGGGAAATGTTGGCTAGACAATAGAGTGGCAAACTAGGGCAAAAAAACCATGGCTTGAAATACTTTTTTAAGTGGTCCAGCCATGATATTTCTCTTAGTGTAAGTGTGAGTCTCCCTTTCTGTAAGTTTATTAGATCTGGGAATGAGGAGAGCCTGTGATCTGGTGGCAAAGTCTGCTTAGCACTCTTTTAGGACCTGAGGCTCCATATTTTCTCTGTCTCTAGGTGTGTGTATTTCTAACACTGTGTCTCAAAAGAACACTAATTTGTATGCATTTCTCAAAAAGACTCTTGGGACTCATGTAGAAGATATTTCTAATTTATAATCTGTGAATGTGTGAGTTCTGTTTTTAGTTGCATTGATACTACCACAAATACTGCATGTGATACCTTGAATGGGTAGCTTGATAGATGTTCAGATGAAAATCTAGATTTTTTTACTTTCCCTTTGGCTCTTCCCTTTAGCTCTTTGGAATTAAATTTATGGTTCCAACTACTTTTAATTAACCTACAGGAAAAGAAAAATCAAACAAACATAAAAATTTTAACGAAACTTCTTAAATTGAGAGTACTTTTCACAACTCTATTTTGGTTCATACATCACATCTATTAGTGGGCAGTGGAATTACACTACATTATTTTTGGGTGCAAGTCAGTCTGAGCCCCTGCTTATACTTTAGGCTTCCCTTGAATTTGAGTTTCATTTTGACATAAAAAGTCATATGTGCCCTGACCTAAATATTGTGGGGTTGCTAGTAACAGAGTTAGAAGAAAAGCAACAGTCAGATTTTGCTGCATTTTTACAGATTTAGAGGAAAGATGCTGTATGCTGGTATAGTTCAGTTGGCAGGGAAAAAAAATCCCAGAAGTTTGATATCTTTCAGAACTAGACATATTTCAGGTATATTTTACCTTTTTCTCAGAAGTAAACCTGTAACATTTTTATCTCAAATTACTCTTTCTCCATAACTTTCTACTATTAAATAAGCTAAAAGTTATAGTAAAAAATAATACTTACCTTTCCATCTCAAAGTTGTGTCAACTTAAAAGTGACTGTTCTGTATTAAAGTGTGTGAGGTTGTATGTATGGAAAAATTCACGTGGTTCAACCATAAATATTGCCAAAATGGGAATTGTTTTGTCAAAAATGGCAACTTTTAGGTTCTGAGGTCCTTTGGTTTAATTGACATTTTGTAAATTTATCACTTTTAAATTTAGTCCTCTACAGTCATGGATAAATAAATTTTAAGTAGAAATTAATATTAATCTAATTTTAGAACAGACAATGCATATAAATATAACTAAGTTATGTCATCTTAAATTTGCTTAATTTATGCTTATGAACCATTCAGCTAACATCATAGTCTTATTTCCCATCGGGAAATTTTTATTAATTATGTCTGAAACACATATAAATTTATTTTTTCTTTGAGAACATCTGATCATATAACATTAACAACTGACAGAAATTTTAACTATAAATATCTGAAAATGAACTATACAGTTAGATATTATGCAATTAGTTTTTTAAAAATACTTTATTTTTTGAAACCGATTTTAGCTTTACAGCAAAATTTAGAAAAGGCTTCAGAGATTTGCCATATAGCTCCTGCCCCTACCCATGCATAGCCTTCCTCATTATCAACATCCCCCGCCAGTGTTATATTTATCACAATTGATATGTAATCAATTTCAACTCTCTTTAGTGTGCTAATTATTAAGTTTCAGAAATAGTTGAAGTAATATATAAATGAATATTATTATTTATATATAAATTTGTTCTGTTTATCCTTCAGGATCTAAATACTTTCATTCCTATTGTAGTGTTTTTGAGAGTTATTTTTAAAATAAATTTTAAATTTTTTATTAAGTAAAAGTTATAATCTATGAAGAGCCACCAATTTAAAGCAATCTCAAAGTAAAAGAAACTTTATTACAGATCGTAGTGTTGACCAACTACTTAAATATTAGTGTTTTCTTGACTTATGAAGGAAGATTTCAAATTGTTGGTGATTTATGAGTAGATATACAACATATTTTGAGACAATCTAAGGCTATATTTTTACTTACAGCAGAAGTTGTAGTCAAGAGCCATAGTGAAAAATCTTCTTTTTACCTGTGCTCATTGCTTGGTAATCCTTCATGTTTACTTCCTAGGTTTCAAGGACAACTATCAATTAGGAAATAATTAGTTGAATCCCCAAGGAGGATTTTTCTTTTTGTTTGCCAAAGGACTTACCACTTTTTAAATATATAATTTTATCTAACATTACTTTTTGTATATATAGTTTTACTCCATAATTATTTACATATACCTTAAGCAAAGTATCTGCTTTATTGAACTAGTGTTATAACAATTCCAAGATAAGTCATTTCTGTAGGGTATAAACTCTACTATTGTCTCTAGAACTATAACAAAGACTATTACAAAGGAGGACCCTTTGATTTTCTCCCTATTTAAAAAATTGGTTGCAAATCTTTTTTTGTTGTTGTTTTTCTCCTTCAGACCAGGGATTCGTATAGTAAACAATGCCTAATTTTATCATCTTAAAATATGTTTTTCTCAACATATTTTTTTTTGCAAACCAGGACCCCCCTCAGCTCCTCGGAATGCCATCTCAAATGTTAATGAAACTAGTGTCTTTCTGGAATGGATTCCTCCTGCTGACACTGGTGGAAGGAAAGATGTGTCATATTATATTGCATGCAAGAAGTGCAACTCCCATGCAGGTGTGTGTGATGAGTGTGGAGGTCATGTCAGGTACCTCCCCCGGCAAATCGGCCTGAAAAACACCTCTGTCATGATGGTGGATCTGCTCGCTCACACAAACTATACCTTTGAGATTGAGGCAGTGAATGGAGTGTCCGACTTGAGCCCAGGAGCCCGGCAGTATGTGTCGGTAAATGTAACCACAAATCAAGCAGGTAAGTGTGATGTCCAACCAAATCATGTACCTTAGGCTGAGCTCTGTCAGTTATCTTCTACAGCTAAGGGCCAAGTTTCCTGAGATCTGTAAGAGAGCTTCTCATAAACCATAGTGTTAGGACTTGAAGTAGAATACATCTCAAAATACATTTTTTCTTTTTTTAGTTTTAAACAAATTAAGACTAAGGCCTTCTTAGCAAACACATTCATGGACAGGATGAAAAGATGTTTTAATTGAATTTTTTCATTAAAAATACATTTCTGACTCAAATCCATGCAGCAAAAATTTTTTATCTCATGATTTCATGCAGTGCAATTATTACAGTTCAAAACTACATGGTTTTGCTGTTTTATTTACTTTAAGCTTTTTAATTTATTAATTTAGCATGTTATCAGGCAAGTTTTATTTGGTTGTTCGTTAATTTGTTTGTTTTACACCACAGCTGAATTTTCTTTGCAGATTAAATAAGTTTACTTTTATTATTTATATCATAAGAAGAATGCATGAAATGAATTTTTCCTTGACAAATCCATTTATCAAAATCAGAACTATGCACAACCACATGAAAACACATTTAACTTCCATAAGAAAATCTTGAAATTATTAGAGAGTAAATTATTAGAGATTAGGGAATATTCTGCTTGAGCTATTTATTTCCCCATATTTCTCCCTCGAATATTCACTTTTATGTGCAAATTAATACCAAAGACTTCTTTTTTGGTAAAATAGAAACCAAAGATAAACTATGACTGAATTAATAATTCAACTTATTATGTGGCAATAATTATTCAAAGCTTGTAAGTAATTTATAACCTGTTTTTATCAACAACAGATATCTGGGGCGGGGAGAGCATTAAAAGCCAACACATCGTTAACTTCCCTCTATTCCCTGTCTACAACTCTCAGTCCAAGAATGTAAACCCGTCACCTCATTAGTGCCTAAGGTGGAATTTGGTTGGTATGGGCATCATTGTCAGCAGTACTCAGTGAAACAAGATGTATTTGACTGAATTCAATTGGACTTAGTCATATAATATTAGTATAAGTTTATAGGTTGTAGAATGACTAGGTTGAGAAGAGAATGTTCTCGCTAATCAAGTCTTGGCCAAAATAATGTGAATTGTTGGATATATCAGATAAATCAAGTGGTTGTAACTTAAGAGGAGCAAAATGCACGCAGTTGAGTTCATGGTTGGTTCTGGTTGATAAAACTGAGGGAAACATTCAAGAGTATCCCGGATGATATGAATGTATTTGAGTAACTCACTAAGAATCATTATGAACACTCTAGATGTTTTATCCATCTTGAATACATGTTCATGGAATTTTTTTTTTAATTCTATGAGAGAAAACATTGCACACATATATGCTACATTTCTCAGTGGGTTCTTTATATATTTTTTCCACTTATTCTCTAACCTGAGGTAGAATGACAACAAAAAAAAGAGCTAAAGAGATGAATAGAAATAGTGAAAATTAAGTTTTCCTTCAGTATAGACTCAGCTGCTGGCAATACTAGTATATGTTGATTTTCCATCACAGTGTCTAAATGTCACAAGTGTTCAGTAAATGTGAACTGTCTTCCACATCAGAAAATTCCTGGCTCTAAACATGTGATTTCAGGTTTTTTGCACATCTTTCAACCTTACTTGGCTCTGCTGTGACTCCTCCATTAACATATTGAAGGCATATTGAACAATCACTAAGAGTTGTAGTCCTTTGGGAGAACATTCTCTAGCTTGCATAACCTTAACTTCTTTGAAAGATAAAAAAATATTTTTCTGATGAACTAGATGTAAAAAACAACTGTTTATTTTTAAAATAATGTGCTTAATAAATATTTATTCTAGTTGTTTTTTGACCTGCTGGCCTGTTCAAACTGCAAAATGTGATTTTTGAACTATAAATACCTTAAATACCAATAAAGAATAATTTTAATCCAGCTGTTCAAGGCATGGTTATCATGCAAAACATATTCGTATTCAGAACAGATTTTTGTTGACTTCTGCTGTTTTCTGAGTTCTCTGGGTACACAAATTATAAAATCTTTGCAAACCTACAAAAACAAAACAATCAAAATAAGGAGATTCTTCTCAGTATCCAACATTCCAGACCAACTAAGTCACAGTTTCCACAAAAAAATGTTAACCTCAAATACTTTCTAAAAAGTCTTAGATTTAATGTTAATATTGCTGGACATCTATAAAAGACCATTATAAAAAGCATGCTGTAGTAGTTTTTAATGCCTGGATATTTTTTATTGTTAAAAATTATTGCAGTGACATTGATCAACAAAATCCAATGTTTCAAATGTATAATTCAACAGTATGTCATATATATATTGCATTATGTGTTCACCACCCACAGTTAGATTCCCTTCCATCATCAAACATTTGACCCCTTTTACCCCATCTATCTCCCTCTTTCTCACCTTCCCTCTGGTAACCACTAGTCCACTGTCCATGTCCATGAATCTCTGTTTGTTTGTCATGTTTGTTGCTTTTAGATTTATATCCACATATGAGTAATATCATGTGGTTTTTAACTTTTTCTGTCTGACATTTCGCTTAGTGTGATTACCTCAAGATCCATTGACATTGCAAATGGCAGTATTTCATCTATTCTTATAACTGAGTAAGATTCCATTATATGTACCACATCTTCTTTATCCAGTCATCTATTGTAGGACACTTTGGTTGCTTCCATGTCCTGGCCACTGTGAATAATGCTGCTCTGAACACCAGGATGCATGTATCATTTTGGATAATTGTTTTCAGGTTCTTTGGGTAAATATCCAGAAAAAGGAATGCTAGATCATAAGGTAGTTCAATTCTTAGTTTTTTGAGGAAATTTCATATTGTTTTACATAGTAGTTGTACCAATTTATATTCCCACTAACAGTGTAGGGTTCCTTTTCCCCTACATCCTCTCCAACACTTGTTATTACTTGTGGTGTTGATGGTAGCCATTATAACAGGTGTGAGATGGTAACTTATTGTGGTTTTGATTTGTATTTCTCTAATAACTAGTGAAGTTGAGCATCTTTTCATTGGTCTGTTGGCCATTTGTATGTCTTCTTGGAGAAGTGTCTGTTCAGGTTTTCTACCCTTTTTTTAACTGGATTGTTTGTTTTTTTGTTGTTACTGAGTTGTATGAGTTCTTTGTATATTTTGCATATTAGGTCTTTTTTGGAAGCGTTGCTTACAAATACATTCTCCCATTCAAATGATTGCCTCCTTGCCTTATTGACAGTTTCTTTTGCTGTACAGAAGCTTTTTAGTTTTCTATAGTCTCATTCATTTATTTTTGTTTTTACTTCCCTTGACTATGAGGTCAAATTCATAAAATCCTTTTTAAGTCCAAGGTCCATGAGTGTATTACCTATGTTTTCTTCTATGCAATTTATTTTTTCAGGTTTTATATTTAAATCCTTAATCCATTTTAAGTTAATTTTGACGTGTGGTGCTAGACAAGTCTAGTTTCATTTTTTTTCAGGTGGCTTTCCAGTTTTCCCAGCACCATTTATTGAAGAGGCTTCATTTCTTTATTGTATGTTTTTGGCTCCTTTGTTGAAAGTTATCTGCCTATATAAGCATGGATTTACTTCTGGACTCTTGATTCTGTTCCACTGGTCTGTGTGTCTGTTTTTTTGCCAATACCATGCCGTTTTTTATTAGTCACTTTGTAGTATAATTTGAAGGTAGGCAGAGTGATGCCTCCAGCTTTGTTCTTTTTTCTCAGGATTCTTTTGGCCATTTGGAGTCTTTTGTGCTTCTATACAAATCTGATGATTTCCTGTTCTATTTCTTTAAAAAATGCTGATGAGATTTTGATGGGGATTGTATTCAATCTATATAATGCTTTAGAGAACAAGGTCATTTTAACTATATTGATTCTTCCAATCTAAGAACACGAAATATTTTTCCACTTCTTTGTGTCTTCTTCAATTTCTTTTAATAGAGTCTTATAGTTTTCATTGTGCAGGTCCTTCATGTGTTTTGTAAGGTATATTCTTAGAAACTTTATTCTTTCAGTTGTAATTACAAAAGAGATAATTTTTCCATTTCTTTTTCTGACCATTCTTCGAATGTAGGAGTGCTATGGATTTTTGAATATTGTTTTTGTATCCAGAAACTTTACTATATTCGTTTATTATTTCTAGTAGTGTTTTAGTGGAGTTTTGAGGATTTTTCTACATAAAGAATCATGTCATCCACAAATAGTGACAGTTTGACTTCTTCATTTCCTATTTGGATGCCTTTTATTTCTTTCTCTCGCCTGATTGTACTCACTAGGACTTCTAATATTATATTGAATAATAGTGGTGATACTGGATAGCCTTGTCTTGTTCCTGATCTTTGAATAAGGTTTTTAGTTTTTCACTGCTAAGTATATTAGCTAAGGGTTTGTTGTATATGGCCTTTATTATATTGAGGTATTTTCCTTTTATACCTGTTTTATTAAGTGTTTTAATCATAAATGGATGCTATATTCTGTCAAAGTCTTTTTTCTGTATCTATTGATATGATCATATGATTCTTTGCTTTATTTTGTTTATAGGATGTATTACATTAATCAATTTGCATATGTTAAATCATCCATGTGCTGCTGGGATGAAGCCTAATATGTTGTTGGATTCGATTTGCTAATATCTTATTCAAGATTTTTGCATCTATGTTCATGAGAGGTAGTAGTCTGTAGTTTTCCTTTTTGTTATCTTTACCAGGCTTTAGTATCAGGGTAATGTCGATCTCATAGAATGTGATGGGAAGTATTGCCTCCACTTTGAATTTTTAGAAGAATTTGAGAAGAGGTATTAAATCTTTGAATATTTAATAGAATTCACTGGTGAAGCCATTTGGTCCTGGACTTTTACTTTGGATAGGTTTTTAATGATTGTTTCAATTTTCATACTGCTGATCAGTCTATTTGGATTTTCCAGTTCTTTGTGATTCAGTCTAAGAAAGTTGTATGGACTTGTCCATTTCTTCTAGGTTA